ACAGCTACACAAACACCAGCACCTACTTATCCTCTTTGTAAACATGCTAATTATTTTCTCTTCTCTCCAAAGGGTGATGACTACCAGTCTGCCTGTTCCAAGCTTTGGGGAAAGGAGTTAACATCTTCCTGAGGAGGAAGGAGTAGCTCCAAATTTCCACTCTGTGAGAGTAACAGGTAAAATCTTAGGGGTGCAGAGAGCTCTGTCTCACAGTCTCTTCTCACTGCGGAGGATCTGCCCCTCCAAATGTAAGCAGACTAGTGGGGGAGCAAAGATTTCCTTCTCCCAGAACAAGGGAATGCAGAAACTGCAGCCAGGCATCCAGATCAAGTGTTAAGCACTAAAATAATCTCTTGAACCTATCACATAGCCTGGGGACCACTCTTAGCTAACTGTGGCACTTGTGAGTGACCTATATATCTACATACACACCAGCAGGAGTGAGACGCATCTCTTTATGTACAGTTAGAGAAAATGTATGGGTTTGTAAATATGAATAGGAAGATATCATAATCCTTCACACTTGGATATGAAAATCAGAGAAAGGCAAATTTCTGTCGTAAGACAGAATTTAATTCTGAAACCATTAGTTTGGTGGGCTCCTTGTTTATGCAATTTACACTAAGAAACTATGATACATAAAAGTACCAAGAGAGATTATTAGTTAGTGATCGGAAGTACAAGTACCCCAAAATAAAAGAGATGCTTAGAGACCTGATACCAAAAGACATTTGTGCAGCTCCATAATACTCTTTTTCAGAAAGCCTAAGGCTCACAGGACGATAAACCAGAAGACATCCTGACCAGAAGGCATCTCACTAGTACTTCCCAACAAGAAAATAGGGTATTTTTCTAGGAAGTAATTTAAAAATATTTTGCGTAGAATCAGAGCAATTGCTCACAGGAGCAACTGTATTCAGAATTTTTCAAATTATGAAGACATATTCCAGCATTTTAATGCCCTAGCAGGTCGGCTAGATGCTCTCACTGCACTTACTTTTATCCTGCTTTCCGTGCTTTACAGCTTTCTTTCTACAGAAATTAATATTCTCGTAATATTTGGAAAATAAATTGCTAATGATAAATGCATTTCAGAATCACAGAACAGTTGAGGTTGGAAGAGACTTCTGGAGCCCACCTACTCCAAACCCCGTGATAAAAGCAAGTTCAACTAGAGGGGGCTCTTCAGAGCCAGTGACACAGTTGCTCAGTGCCACAGTCCCTTCCCCAAAGTGAAAGCCATGTTCTTCGAGCGCACCCTAGTGAAAATCCTGTTGAAGACTTTTTTTTACTGGTTTAAAATGCTGCAAGTGTCTATACTTAGCTATCAGCGTTTTGCTGCCTTGATGCCAGGGTCTGAATTTTAAAAAACACATTTATTAAAGAAAACATGGAGAAGTAGACGCCCCAGTACCTCATAAAAATCCATTTAGGTATTTTACCTGTCCATGAATTACACTAAATTACTTTCCAGAGCGATATGCTGAATGTGAATTACACAAGCCTTCACAAAGGTCTTGGAAAATTTCTCATTTTTCTTTTGAGTATTTTAATTTCTATAAAATATTATGTTGCTGCTGTTATGAAAGAGGTTTGTGTCACTATAAGTTAAAAATCATTGAATCACAGAATATCTTGAACTGAAAGGACGCCATAAGGATCAAGCACAACTCTCCGCTCCTCGCAGGACTACTTAAAACTAAACCATTTGACTATGAGCATATTCCAGATATCCCTTGAACTCTGACAGGCTTGATGCTGTAACCACTGTCTCAGGGTTTTCAGTGACCTACTACCCTCCCAGTGAAAAGTCTTTTTCTAAAGTCCAATCTGAACTTCCCCTGAACCTCTGGCACCTGCTCTTCTTAGATTTCAACAGGTTGGGGATTGCCCAGCTCTCTAGCCTATCCTGACCTCTCTGTAAGGCCTCTCTATTCCAGAGGGATGCCACAACTTCCCCCTAATTTAGTATCATCGGAAAACTTCCTTGATGTACACTCAGTTCCTGCATCTGGATCATTTATAATAAACATTAAAGAGCACTGACCCTAAAACGGAGCCTTGGGGTGACTGGCTGCCAGCTTGATGTAATCCCATTTACTATAACTCTTTGAGCCCGACCTGTCAGCCAGATTTAAGATAAAACTACTTATGAATCCTGGCTGCATATTGTTACTGGCATAGTAAGTTTAAAGATATGGTTAAGAATATTATACAAGTATATATGGAAAATAACCTATGGAAAGGATCTATAAAAATAAAGCTTTCAAGTCTGTAAAGACCGTAAACAATTTTGCAATAGCCACATGGAGAAGGTACCATAACAATAAAGAAACCTCAATTAATGGTCCTGAAACCATTTCACCTGCAGGATAAACCTCTCTGAAGTGTTCAATTAAAAAGCACATAGCTAAGATAAACTACAAGGAGCCATATACATTTTTATTTACCACCACCATTAATTCTCCCCTTTCAGACGATATGTTTAGTTGCTCCTTTATAACTCTTCGAACTGCATTTGACTGTCAGGCTGTAATGTGCACTTGTGTGCCTACCTGGTATCTCACCTTTAGGCAAACTTAAACAAAACAACTACGGAATTTCCCACACTTACACATGACTCCCCACTGTTTAAATGATTATGGGGGGTGGGGGGGAAGAGAAACCCACCAGCTCTCTCATTTTGTGCTACATCATTTTCGTGCTACAACTGAACAAACTCGCTTTAATTGTCATCTGTTCCAAAGACCTGCACACGTGCCTGCACCAGTTTTGTTTGCCGCTAAGTCCTGCAGGGCCAGCACATGCAACTGAACAAAACCCATCTGACCAACACATGTGGTATGATACAGGACTATACGTGGTTCCCAGCTGTCAAAGCACTGCACATCCTCTAGTGCTGGCCAGGCACAGAGATATCTAGGTCAAACAGTACTTAACTATCTCAGTCTTTGTCCTCAACAAAACTGTCAGACTAGAGACAGCTAAATCTGTCATTGGATGCAGTTTTTTAACGCTAATGAAGAGCTGTGCTTGAGCTAACTTACATCAGCGGCAGTGACAACTCACACATGGATAACTGAGTGCTGACAATACACATCACTAAATTATTATTACATTCTGTTCAAGATCACTTGATAACACTTCTAATCACTTAAAAGAATATTTTTTCTTTTCATTTGGCTGTTATCTACTTTAAGGAGGACATATCCCTTGCTTCTAATCAAACAGATGCAAATGGTCCAGTCAATGGCAGTCCTGCAAGAAGCAGAGAGCTGAAGTCGATGAACCTTATTGGGTCCCTTCCAACTCCCTATGGCTTCCTTCCAACTTGAAATATTCTATGACTGTGATATGTATCGTGGTGTATGACAAGTACATCACAAGTCACATTGCCTTTCTGGTACAGTAACACAAGTCACCTATTTTTTCCAGTCAATAAGTGATTTAAGATATTTAAAACAGATGTAAAACATTTATTTTTTTCAGATAAATATGAACTCTTACTCCTTTTTATTAACACATGAGAGACAGAAAGCAGAACAAGAGTAACTCAAGTAAAACCAATCTATTTTATTTTTGTCAGGTTAGCATTTCATTGTTAAACAGTTGCACAAAAGAACTTCAGAGAACTGTACCTCTTATAGTTTCCCATTAGTTATCATGGTTACTGAAAACATACAAAGCATTTAAAACTTGTTTTAACCTGCAGCTCTCGTAGTTAAGAGTTTTTGTAAAGCTTCAGCTGTAACTGAACACCACATTCATAAGCATCAAAAAGTTACAGGTACTTTCCATATTAAATTCATGTCAGATAAACTATTATGCAGTACAGTACAGCACTGCAAAAATATTCCAATAAATTTTCCTTAGAAAGACCGTACCTGAAATCTAGAACACTGCATGTACATAAAAGCCTATAAACAAAAATCTGTCAGCAAAATCAGTATATGCTTCAAGTATGTCAACAGCTGTATTAAATAATACTTAGTAGACTACTAAACCCTACCATTTGAAAAAAACTCTTTAGAAAGGTCGTGGTGGATATATTCACTGAATACTTCTGTATTACATCGTTCATAGTCCAAATGGAGCTGTCTATGGCCCAGTGCACTTTAAATGAAAGCAAGCTGGCCACACGTACATAAGGCAAACACATATCAAGGCAGACTCGTAACAGCAAGTCTGCAATGGCGATGACAGTAATCACCTCGTTGTATGTGTACAGATCGTGCACAAAAATTCTTGTTTCGCAGCATGCAGCAACAAGAGATATCTTCCTTTAGTAAGAAACTGAAACTCCTGTACCTTCCAAAGCACACCATGAATCATTGCTTCCTCAAGAGAAATTATCAATACTGTGTCTTCTGTCATCAGTACTATGGAAAGCTGGAACTAAAAAACTAGAGCGAGCACATAAACTTAACTTACTCTGAAGAAATAAAACTAAACCAGAGAAAACAAATAAAAAATTTTCTGAAGTTTAGAGTTACTCATAGTAGTGCAGATAATGACCTCTGTTACCACGAATTCCACTTTCATATGTAAATCCAGAAAAAAAAAGGAGTCTTGGAAAAGGAACTCAGTAACAGTAGTTGAATGCAATAAATTTTGGCAAAAACATAAGCAGGCTCCTATCATAGACCACAAAAATGTCACATATTTGTGGAAATATGTGCACCAATCTAGCTTTGAAAGTTCTTCATAATTAGTTATTAATAAATTCAGAACCAAAAAATATCTGCTTTCAACTGCAGTAAATTACTAATTAACAAAATGTTATCTGCAGTAAATTTGTAACCTCTCAGGAAAAGAAATTAATAAATTAATTGACTTCTGATTTTGGAGGAAAAAAACATTTAAATCAGTTTAATTTATTATATAAGCATTTAATGCAATTTTTATATATGAAGAAGTTGGGCATGCTATTCTGGAGCCTACTTTTGAATATATTTCCGAAATTCCACAATCTATTCAAGGTTTTCTTTTGGGAGTGGAGAAAAAAACAAGTGGGTGGAAGAGAAGGAAGTGAAATCTTTAGCATGTCATATTCTGCACTCCTTGTATTTTCATAACCAATTTTATCAATCTCTTCTCTAAAAAATCTGCATTAGGAAGACACATCTAATATTATGGGACAACAGCAGTCAGACCACTTCATAAAACTACTAACATACCCTACATTCAAAGCGTTGAGTGCTGCAATCAAATACTATTTCTGGAATTCCCTGGGTGAATTTCTCTCTCTAACTCCTCCTCCTCACTTTCCCTCTCGCTCTGTTCTTGAACGTTCATAGTTCCTTCATCTCTGACATCAAAGCATTGGAGTTCAAGTTGAAAATCTTGGTTCTTTCATGGAAAAAAAAGAAAAAAATGTTCATAGAACATACAGCAGTTACTCTAAAAGTAAATCCAAGCATGACGATATTTTACACACTTCTGTCCTCTCATCACACAACAGAATAGGTGCATGTTTTTGTCTTTTCTAAAAGATTACTGAAATTTGAGTTATAAAAGTGAATGTAAGAATTTTTTTATTGCTGCCTCCGATGACTAGCATCAGCACTCACTTTCTGCAGTCCTTGTCTCTTCAAATTAACAATAGGGGTGGAGACAGGTGCTTGTGATTGAAGCAATTCAGCCGTAGCTTTCTTCTCAATAAACTCAGCTATTTCATCTTCTAGAACTTTTTTCTTCTCCTCTAATTTCAGTTCCTCTTCTTGATGTATTAGCATAAGACATTCAAACTTAGTTTGTACCTATTTTAAGAAAGCACAAATAACGCTTCCAGCTAGTAACACAAGGTGGTGATATCACAATATAAAAGCCCTCTGTAAATTAGCAGCAAAACCTACCTCAACTGGTGTTAATAGTCATAAGAAATTGCAGTTATTTCCCCAAACTGTTACGACTGAAAAAAACAGCAAACCATAAAAACAATCATTCCTATCATACTGTTCTCATGAAGCTGGGCTAATACACTAAGTACAAATGGAAAACATGGAAGGCACTGAATACTAGATTTCCTACTACATTTTACATTTTGTTATATCAAAAATAAGGTCTTTAGAGATGAAACAATTACCAACAGACGGATTAAATCAGGATCTGTCAAGTACAATATACTTCCCTAAAATCAAATGGGCAAGGAATCATACACAACTTTAGTTACATAGATGTGCATTTTCATATATATACATAATTTTAATATGTGTATTAATCACATTTAAGTATTAATATGTACACGCACAGAGTTAAGTCTGGTTGGGGAGTTACTGCTGGGACATAAGAAGTTAACTATTCTGCAGTAATTGTTCTTTGAGTGTTCTTTTGACATATTAATGCATTTTAACCTGCAGACATATTTTAACCAGTTAAAACCTACTGTGAAGTTATGCACAATGACCAAAGGGCACTTCACTCCATTCTTCCTCATCTCCCATCTTCTCACACACTAATTTTCCTAGAATCCTGCTTCTATATTAATTTGTATTGGTGCAACTCTGAGTGCAGCTACACTGGTACAGAAATCAGAGAGATTTATTTCCATCTTTTGCAAAGAAGAAGAAGAAATAACTAAGACTATAAACATAAAAGTATGCCTGTTCTACCCAGCAGAGCTCTCAAATTTTATAGGAGCACCTACAAGTTTTCTCTAATGGAGGATGTGAAAGCAATCTTAAGTATAACAGAAATTCCTGGTTTTCTTTAGTTTCCAGGTACATGCACACCCTTCGTGGCAAATGAGCAGCAAGAGGATATGACGAATGTTCTTTAGGAGTGACTGCATGATCACTTTCCCACATCGGGAACTTGGAAAACTAATATCCATAATTCAATTGCAATATGCAGAGTTCACAAACCACCTCGTATAAATCATAGAAGGAAAATATCAAAGAGTATCACAGATACTGTGTAAGACCTTGCTGAACCTACTTTGAACATGGCCAAGTATTCTTCCAGTTGGATAGCCTCATACTGAGAAGGACTGAATTTTATTTTTTTTCTCCACAAGTAGCATGGGGATCTCGACAGATTTAGAAAACAAATATTAAGCCTTCTTATTTAAAACATGTATCTGAACACCTCAAAAAACTGCTACAGCTTTGTTGGGAAACTGATGTACAGAAAAGAATATTAATAAAAATGCACAGGTTCCCAATTTCAATTAAACCAGTATTTGAATATAAATAGGCATGACCATGATAGAGTCTGGCGGAAAGTAGATGAGAAGATTCTGTTTTGCTAGTCCAGCTTGACAGGACTAAATCTTCAACAACATATTCAAGAAATATTCCATATCTCCCAATAGGCTTAAGGCAGCTGGGAACAGATGAGATTTTAAAACCAGAACCAAACCAAACCAACAAAAACACCACCATCAACATGAAGGTTGACCTTAGATTTAATAACTGTGGTAGTTTGGTCTAGGCCTTCCTTGGTGACCAGTTTGTAACCAAAGAAGGGCCCGGATTTACCCAGTATTCCCTACAATTTTTACGTAAGCCAGGCTATAAGAAGAAAGGAGGAGAGGCCTTCGCTCTTTTTTTCCTTCCGGTGGCTTGGAGGTGCAGGTTCCCTGCTGTTGAGTCTGCCGTGTTGGGGAGTGAGGCCTGGTAAGGCCTTGTCGACCTTGGGAGATGGAGGTTGCCGGCAATCGTTCCAGAGTGACTCTCGGTTGTCCCAAGGAGAGTAGTGAGATAGTCTTTTGCTAATTTCTTTTAGTGCTAGATCTCGGGTTACTGGTTGGGATATATATATATTTTATTTTGGTTTTGTTCCTTTTCCCTTCCCCCTTCCCTTCCCCTTGTGAAATTATATATATATTTCAATTGTATATAACTGTAACATAGTTGTAAATATATTTATATATATTGCTTTAGCTGTCTCTTGTTTCGGTTTTCTTGGTTGTTTTTTTTCCCCTCTTCTCCCTGAGGTTTGGGGGGGGGATTTCTTGTGGTAAGGTTTGGAGACTTGGCAGGGAGCCAGCTTCAAACCATATCAATAACTGAATCTGGAAGTCATAAAAACATACACAGTCCACTCTCTGAAAAAACAACGCATGGCATTTTTTCCTAAAATCTTTGTTTTTACAGAGCAATCTAAGCATGAAAAGTACCTAGTGTGCTGCTAAAGCTTACCAATGTTTCTCAGCATACTGCTAGAGAAGACAAAGAAACACAACTATTATATTCATCACTCTTTTACTTCACCATATCAACTCCTACTCTATAGACTTGGCCCTGCTATCCACCAAAACCATTAGGCCGTAAGCTTCCTCCTTCCAAAAAACGATTGCCATTTATAGAATGATATAATCATTTACGTTGAAAATGACCCTTAAAATCAAGTCCAACCATTAACCCAGTACTGCCATGTCCACCACTAAACCATGCCCCCAAGTGCCACACCTACAGGTCTTTTAAATAACTCCAGGGATGGTGACTCCACCACTGCCCTGGGCAGCCTGTTCCAGTGCTTGACCACCCCTTCAGTGAAGACATTTTTCCTAATATCCAATCTAAACCTCCCCTGACGCAACCTGAGGCCAATTCCTCTCATCTTGTCACTTGGCAGAAGAGACCAATCCCTATTTCACTATAACCTCTTTTCAGGTAGTTGTAAAGAGCAATAAAGTCTCCCCTGAGCCTCCTTTACTTCAGGCTAAACAATCCCTCAGCTGCTCCTCCTAAGACATATTTTCTTGTTTGCTTGTGCCTAATCAATCTGCTAAACCAATCAATCTGTGTAATCAATCTGCTTTTGATTTAAAGTGTTACTGTCCTCAAAATATTAGGAAATTATAAACATCAACCAGTGATCTTGTTAAGAACTTAACTGTTCCAAAGCTCAGCAAACAAGATAGACAAGCATGCTTACCTTTTGCTCTGCCTCTTTCAACATTGCTGCTTTCTCCTTCACTCTCTGCACAAATCGTTTTTTAATCTCCTCCTCTTTTCTTTGCAGTTCAAGGTAGAACTTATGCCTCTCTGCCTCACAGGCTTCCTGTAGACTGAAGTCCAAAAACAAGCAAGTTTCCAGCATGTTAATTTATTCAGTGTGGAAAACCAACAATCTAAAAAATCATTTAAACAATTAATATTCATCTGAAATATTAATTTCTAAAGCTTCCCACATAAAAATTCATAAACAAACCTGAATAGAAGCAAGCATCTTGTATTACTATTTTTTTATTTATGTAAACAACTCTGAGTAAAATTATTTATGCTAACTGCTCCTGGGCAATTTACATTTCAAAGTAAATACAGCACTTTAGGCATCTAATGTTCTGAAGTCTTGAGTTATACCTTCCTGACTCCAACATGCATAAGTTTCTCCTTCAAGTTGCTTACTAATGAAACACTGAAATTGCCAGGAAAATCCCCCCAAACTTCTGCATTGTAAAACCTCAAGTCTTAAAGTAGGAACTTAAGAAAGCAATTAATCTGGAGCATTAACACAACTAAAAAAATTATTATTCCTATATGAAAATTAAAGACAATAACAGGATTTTCAAACTATATAGCACTCTCTTTGTGTAATGTTAAAATTCAAATATGGCAGTTATATTAATATAGAATAAAAACAATTTCCTAAGTAGTTCAACATCGAAAAGACAGAGTTACTTTCCAACATGCATCAGTCAAAACCTCAAGACTGCTTGGTTTTTCCTGAATCCCCTCTCTCAGAAGCAAATATACTGCATACATGCATATTTATATTTGAAATTATAGAGGAGGTGTAAATTAGTTCAGATCATTGAGTAAATATCTGGCAATAGAACAAATCAGCAAGTAACTAAACCACTTCTTTACTTTTAAATCTATGCCTCCCTTTCCTTTTAGTACACAAGATAATGTTTTTTGTCCAAACAACAGGCACTGAAATTGAGATACTTTTTTTGTGGCAAAGCATATCATGTCAAATTAAAAGATGCTGGTAATTTATTCATACAAATAAACTACTAGAGGTGTAACGTCTATACTACCACTGCTATCACCCAGTGCTGGCAGAAAGTGTTCAGCTTTTCAATGAAACATGAATGGAGCTTGTCCACAGATGTATCTCATACACCAAAGTGCACACTGCCTTTGAAAAGCAAAACTGCTTAATGACACAAGTTCTTCCACCAAAATATTTACCACAAACTTTTCTAAGTCACAGGATTCCAGAGAGGCAGAATTGGTGGAACATAGCTGTGCTAATGGTTACTAGAAACTCAAAAGCACCTGCCCATTATCTTCTAGGACATAGGGTTTATGAACAGATCAAAACATGGACAATGTTCAAGCTGTTTTGTTTCTGTTACACCATTCATCTCTTCTAACACTTCATGAGTACTGACTAGTGAGCCCTTTTCAGCTAACATCAGTTACTGTCCTTTGCCAGGTATCTCACGCCTTCCACTCTGACATAAAATAAATAGGTATGTATATAAAATATTTAATTTTGGTTTTTTTTTTTAATACACATCCATACTTATGTATCAGGTTTTGTCTTACCTTTTACTGTTTCTATTTAAAAAGTTTATAAATGGAAAGACTTACTAAAAAGGGCATTTAAAAAGTTAATTATTTAGAGCAACAGTAAGCTTTAACAGCTCCCTTCTATATTTAAATTTATGATGACTGGCCAGTTTCACAGTCCTAAAGTTTCTTATTTGTATTCAAAATATCATCTAAAGAGAGAGAAGAATCATCCTGAAATTTCACATGCAGACAATGTTTATAAGTTATCAAGGTCAGAGCACTCTTCCTATTCTATCTTATTTGAGCAGTACACAGCAACAAAATAAACTCAGAACAATCACCCCTTTGGTTTTTTATTTGTTTTTTTTGGGGGGTTTTAACCAGCTGTGAAGCAAATTGGGTCATCCCGATATTCTAAATTCTATCATATGACATGGGGGCATGGTTTTCATACAGACACATCAATTCACAGAATCTTTAAGCTTAGACAATAAAGCTACAGCACAGGTTTTTCAAGTGCCAGCAGTCTCACACTATACACACTTTTGCACCCAGTGTCACTTCTGCCAGCAGACATGCTGCCTTTGGGTGCAATACAGCTGCTAGAGCAAGTGCTAGACTGAGCTAACATGCTACAATCACACCTTCATTTCTTCATGTGGACGTCTTTAGACTCAACCTAGGTTACTTTACCAGGTAAAACCAATTTTTTCTTGAAATTAGTAAAAGATTATCTTTGAAGACATTGGATTTACTAAGTTATCAAATTATGTGTAGAAGGAAGAGAAGAAATTAAGTGAATATTTTAAATTTACTGTGAGGGTGGTTGTGGATGCCCCATCCCTGGAAGTGTTAAAGGCCAGGTTGGATGGGGCTCTGAGCAACCTGGTCTAGTGGGAGGTGTCCTTGCCCATGGCAGGGGGTCTTTGAGGACCCTTTTAACCCAAACCATTCTATGATCCTATGAAATGCCCCCTCCCCCTGGACTGAGTTGTTCTGGAAATCACAAAGACAAAACTAAAACAAAATTTCCTCTTCTGCATTTGGCAGATCAGCAACATAATGACCCAAACAGTCTTTGGTTTTAGGAGGTTTGAGGAGGAGGGGGAAATAGTTCACCACATCTTAAGCCAATCCTTTCAACATTACTGCATCCATCACTCATAGTAAAACACTTTTCAGTTTATCTGAGGACTGGTTTCACTGCTTCTCATTTAGAACATTATGAAAATCAAGTTCACAGGTTCTCTCATTCTTCTGGGTTAGACCTCCAGAATTTTATACTCTATTCAAAGACACTTGCAAAATCTAAATGTTATAGCTAATTACTTAAATAATGCATTCTTATTGAGGTTTTGGAGGAAGGGATTGTGAATAAAGTCTAAACTAATCATAGATACCAGCACTACAACCTACCTTTCTGAAGAAGCATAGCTGTGACGTACAGTTTCTCTGTCTGCATAAGACTGAAAGCATGGAAGCCTGAAGATGCAAATTAAACAGGTTATGTTCATAAATAAAGACTATGAAGTGAATTCAACTCCCAGTGGAACACAATGTTTGTGCACTTTGAACAACACAGGTATTTACATACTACTTTACAGTTTGTTCCGCTAAATTTTTTAAAGCTTTCAAATTTGAAAGTAACACTTGTAACTTTTTGTATAACATTAGACTATCAATTAAGGTATATCTGAAAAACTAAAAAAATCCAACCAACCAAACAAAAAAACACTAAAAAAAAAAAGAATCAAAGGTTAACTAGTGGCAGGTATTTCTAGTGTGATGCCCTGACTACCTAACTACTTAAGTTGATATTAAGCAACACTAAGGTTGTGGTAGATCTAAATAATTACCATTTTCCCAGTGAAGGCATGAAAAACAGGTATTTTGGATGTAGTTCAATCTCATCTTGAGACAGTTAAAATACTGAGCTCAAATGCAAAGGTCTGCAGCTGGTCAGATGAACTCCATTCCCGAGTGAGTTCTTAAGGAAAAAGTCTAATAGCCTTTCAGATATTAGGCTTCTTTTCTTAGAAAAGACAACAAGAGTCATATCGACCTTCCTCTACACATAAACTTTATTCATATTACTGAATCCTTCCTGCTTTTCTGTCATCATCTTCAAAACAGACTGAAACATAAACAAGTTCAAGAACTGCAAGGTCTGAATATCCCAGTTTCAGGGAGGAATAAAGCATAGAATATATGATTCCTCGCATATTGAGCAAATGAGGTGCTTATGTTACAATTATGTTTAATTGCAATTATGATGAAGAAACAATTGTAATTATGATGACAGAAAAACAACTGAACCAGAGAAAGATTAACATCAGAAAACCTAAATGGAAGCACACAGCCTGAATATCAATTCTCAGCTTTTTTCAACCGACTCTGGTCTATTAGTTTTCTTCTTTCAAATCAAGAAAGTTCCTGTGGGAAACAACTTAGCTTAGATTGAAAAATGGACTTAACAAAATGTCCAGCTTCAAAACTACTAATCCTCTCCTTCCTTCCATCCTTACCTAACGTAACTATGTGTGTGAATATATTTAGAAGTTTGTTTTCTGGAAGCACTCTTCATGTCCAGATTTCTGTTTTCAACTACTGCCAATTTTTCCATTCAAAACATCTCAGCAAATATCTCTCAATGATATCTCTCAAGAATGACCTGAAAGTAGGAATTCATGTTCCTAATGGACATAACTGGACCATTGAAAAGGCAGTACTAGACCATCCACAAACAAAAAATAGCCTATCTTTACTTTTCAATAACAAAGAAATACAAATCCCAATTTTAAGTAGTAAAAAAAATACAAAAAAATCCACTTCCTGGATTTTATATCCAACAGATATTGCATAAAATGCATAAACCATACCACAAACACTCTGCTATCCATTGACTTCATTACTTCATTCTTAGAAGGCAATTGCAAATAAACAAATTAAAAAGCTATTATGAAAGAGCTTCACAAAAAATATAGGATTAGGGAACAGGCATTTTAAAAGTGTACACAAAACAGTCACTTCAGACTATTACTACTTTCATTCTCCCTTCTCACACCTAGTAATAGCGATGCAAACATATTTTTCTGTTGTGTGCTGAATCTATCTCTTTCTATATCTCCCATAAAAAATAAAGCTTGCCAACGTGTTTTTTCACATGTGAGTGAAAGCCTTTACAGATGTCTGCCCACAACCTACCTCACAAGGTAGCTGAACACCCAAGAATTACTGGATTTGCTTTGCAGTGGCATACAAATTTGGATGAATAAACTACTGCAGTACTTCTAAATCCAAAAGAATGGTAAAGGAATGTCACAGGCAGCTTCACAACATGCTAAAAGGCAAGGCATGTCATCTACTCAAAGTGTTGATGTTCAAATGCTACAAATAGCCAATTATTCAAGTCTAGCAAAAGTTTTCTAAATTAACATCAAATAACCCAATTCAGATTATCAAATTTAATATGTAGGCAGCTACATCACAGGCACAAAATATGACTTCTCAACATGCACTTTGATCATTATTTACACAAGCAGCATAAAATTTTAATCATCAGGCATATGCTGCTATGCAATATTAATTCAACTTTGAAACTACAGCTCTTAGAATCCAACTGTATATACTGTAAACATCTTTAAGGACAAAGAGGATAACAATTTAATAACACATTTTTGCCTAGAACAACTGGATAGTCCCTATTCTGAAAGATACATAAATGTACAAGTCATCAAAACAGGAAGCACTAAACTTCCTCTAGTAAGAAGACATTTTCTATGTCTATGCTGAGGATGACACCTCTTATTGTTTCCTCAGTAGCTTTATAAAACACCTTCCCGGTAAGGCTGCGTTAGTCTGCTAATTACACTGCATACACATCCCCTAAATTCTCTTCCTTTTTTATGGTATCATAAAACGTCTCTCCCAAAACACCAAACGCCTTCTCTTTCAGACCTCAGTGTCGTTCACTATGCCACACAACTGAGGGACAACCACACCCACCTTAATCATGCTTTTCTCTTCCTGCTGCAGTAAACCTGGTGATGCCTTAAGCCCCTAATGTTTTTTTTTATTTTTCTAATATTTGTAAGACTTGTAAGTTTTATAAGTAGTGGAAGTAGATTTTAAAAGCAGCAACCTTCCCTCCTTTGTCCCTTGTCCCTTTCCCTTTCTCTCTAGCACCCTTGTTTACACATTCCTTAAACCTCTTACCCCATTCTATGCTCCGTATATCACTCATACCCCTGAATATAGCAGAGATGTTTAGTCTTTTGTCAAGGCAAGGCCTAGATTGTTGGCAGAACAGCATATCAGGGCCTAAACCACAGAATATGGTCAAGAATTAGGTAACTATGTACCCTTTGTGCTCTGATGAAGAGGAAGGTGGGATGAACAGAGGGTCCCAAAACCCCCAGACCCATTTCTCAGGGGTGGACCCCGGGGCGGACCAGAGTAAAGGCCACAGGGTGGACACATCTGGGATTGGATGGATGGTGTTATAAAATGTAACATCTCAGGCACAGCCGGAGCTCTTGTAACATCTTAACCTTGGCAAAATAAAACCTTTCTTATCTCACCCCTAATTAACTGCTCTGGGAGATTTTTTCAGCACCAAAATTCCACGGCAACACTGGCAAAAAGTTTGTTTTTCTAGATTCTTGTGGAATATCTATTCTCATCCTTTCAAAACAATGACATTTTCAATAGATCCGGTTTACCAAAATTAATTATTAAATGTACTTTCTTGTCAAAAATCTCTCAACAAACCTGACATTTAGTGGGCCACACATAAAAACTACACACCAGAGGGAACTCAGCTCTTCTGTATATCCATGAAGTGATCGATTTCTAAACCAGCTTCTGCAGTGTAAAATACCAGCACATTCTGATACAAACCTACCATTTTAGACCATTAGTAAAATGCAAACTGTGTAATATATAATGGCCAGTCTTCGTGAGCGAAGATTTGGGAAAGGTCATTA